GGGTTTAGTCTCTAATACTATACACACAGACACACACACACACACACACACACACAGCCCTGAAATCCAGAAGCTGTTGCAGAAGCTCACAGCAAGGATTTGGTGTTCTGGATAACATAAACATCATACAAGGTTGCTCTGTGACAGTAAGGGATCAAAGCAAAAATAAGACTTATCCAAATCACACAAATGATCAAGCATCACTCTATCCTGGATTATACAAGTGAGTGCTGATTTCTTACAATCACAATACTCTTTTAGCCATCTAAATAAGAATTAAAATACCCAATCATAGAATTACCCTTGCTTCCTAAGAACATCCAGTCCTTGGACTCTTCCTCTAAATCACTGAATAAAAGGCCAAATCCTGTGATAAAAGTCTCACAAGAACCCTGTTACTGCACCTGCAACAGCAAACAGAAACATCAAAGACATCACCCAGGATTTGGAGGCAGATTTATTTAATGTCGAGAGGTGCTGACCTCAAGAAAAAAAATGTCAGGCCCCAAACCTCAAGGAGGGAGGTTTTTATGGGGTTTGCAGAGTATTCAGCTATCCTTGATTGGTTCTTACAATATACATTATAGTGACCAACTATGCATCACGTGACCAATTGTTTCTAAGAAAAAGAAATAACAGGAACTGTTACATGAGCAACTAACAGAGACTGAAATATACCGGCTGGTGGGGGGGCATTTTGTGCTACAGGATGTCCTATGGTTCCCCAGGACATTTATCTTCCTTACTTTTTGCAAGGAGTCAGTGAAAGGCTGACTTTTGTTTGATTAGAGCTGATCTTTGAGTGAAAGGCATTTGCATTGTAATCAAATTTTCACTTGAGGACTTAGCCTCAGAGAGCTTATAATAGCAAGAAAGACAGACAAACCAACAGTACTCAGTGAGTGACATGAGTAAAGTGTAAAGACAAGATACTAAAAGAACAATAGGTCAGAGAGCCAGGTGGGTCAGTGAAGGCATCCTGGAGGAGGGGACACTCAGCTTAACCATTAGCTCAGTGCAGAGGTAGGAACTGGGTTAAAAGCAAGAAACCACATGTGTAATTAAAACATGACAGAGGGACTACCAGCAAGTCTGAAGGGTTTTGTATTCTCTTGGGTAGATTACAAAATGATATGATTAAATTGTATTTTATAAAGGGTTAATAACTGATATTATGATCAAAGTTAAGCCAACATTGTTTCCCTCTAGATACTGGGGATATACCATAACTTTTTTTATTAAAAAATTAAAATAAAGAAGGAGATTAAGATAAAAGAGGACATAACAACATAATAACACAGGTCAGAACAGAACAATTTAAGCAACATAGTGTTTCAACACAAGATAACCCAACATAACAGTAGCTACCATAGTGTCTTTTTCCTTGAAATATTTTAGTATAACTTTGTATATTATAGCATCAAGCACAACATAACTTTTATAATATTGCCAAAAGATATAACCCGAATTAACAATAAAGGGAAAAATATCACATAATCCCAAATGAAAAGATATTTTGCCTTTTGAACTCCAGAAATGCCAATGTCATGAAACAGAAAGGCTGATGAACTGTTTCAGATGTAAGGAGATTAAATAAAACCAAATTCAATGTTTAGCCTACGCTATATTTGAGGATGAAATACTTTTTTCCCCTCATGACGTAGGGAGGGACTTCTGTCAAAAGACTGTGTTAGCTTTCCATCACTGTGGCAAAATAAATGAGATAACAACTTTAAAAAAATACTTTTCTCCCTCTTATTATGAAGGACATTAATGAAACAATTGGAAAACTTAATTAGACGACACTGGATTTATATTTACTGCCTAATTTTGATTATTGTGCTATGGTTGTTTGAGAAGATTCTTGTTTTCCGGAAATGCACACCTAACTATTTAGAGGTAAAGAGCATCATGTTGGAAATGTACTCTCAAACTGTTCAGGGAAAACTTATCCATAATATATATTTTAATATAATATATATATGTATATAAATGTAATATAATATAGGGTAGCTTGGTGCAGTGACACATACTTGTAGTCCTCAGGAGGATGAGGCAGGAGGATTGATTGTACAAGTTCAAGGCCAGGGACGCTTCCATGATCTGGTGATTATCTGGACTTGAGTTAGGAAACCAAGTGTGGCATTTGGTAAAGTGTCTGATTTATTGCATTGGTGGCAGCATGCACCTATTTACCAAGATAGAGCAGGAAGTTTTTGCATAAGATGATTGCCTTTGGGTAACTTCTTAGAGCTACTGAGGAGAGGGGTTGATCTCCAGGCCTGTACGTTGAGGGAGATCCAGGCTTTAATACAGGTTACTGAGGGTATCATTAGCATTGAAGAGGCAGAAGAAGCCATGAGACTAGAAGAGACTCTAGAGAGACAGCATAGCAAAACACCAAATATCCCCAACATCTAGAGATTGCATTCCCACTTTCTTTACCCCATCCAAGAAAGTGGGCCATGGTAGTGTATGACAGTAATCTCGGCACTACACTAGGATAAAGTAGGAGAATCATGAATTCAATACCATCCAGGGAAAATTGGCAATTTAGTGAGATCCTGCCTCAAAAAAAAAATAATTGAAGAAGGGCTAGGGATGTAGCTCAGTGTGAAGGACCTGGGTTCAATCCCCAGTACTACAAAAAGGAAGGAAGGAGGGAAGGAGGGAGGCGGGGAGGAAGGGAAGGGAAGGTGGGAGGGAGAAGAAACAAGGAACTAACATATGAAGGAGGAAATAAAAAAAGTTTTCTTCAGCTTCATATGTCTCCACTGATGGCTTAAGCTATTTTCCACCTTTTTCTTTCAGCTGAATGTGTTACTGTGCAGGGCCAGGGTCCCAGGAGGAGGTGATTCCCACTGAGATAAGGAACCTAGGCCTATCCTACCTGTAGAATTAAGGTGCAGGTTTGATGACTCCTGTCATGGAAAAAAAATTCAGGACTGGTCAGTAGACGGTACAGAAAGAATTAGAATTGTAAAAGCATACACTCACAGTGTGGGCCTTCAAGAGTGGAGGGGGATAAACAACCTTATAATCTGGAGGTGAGTATTTTTGTAGGGTCTTGGGAATGTCTTCAGCATGGGTGACCTTTGATCTGTATTCCTACTGTCTGTGTGATTCCCCATCTGTCAGTCTACACTAAAATACAAACTATTTACATGTCTTTGAATTTGACATGCTGCCCACTAACAGTGTTGCTTACTTGAGGATGGACATCTGTGGAAGGGAATGCAATTTACAGGTGAAAAGCACAGGCCCAGAGCCCAGTTTTCAGCCTTATTATGTGTTTAAGACCCTTAGGATTGTTTTTCTAAGTTTTTTGAGACAGGGTTTCACTATGCAGTTCAGGCTGGCTTCAAACTCAGGTGATCCTTCTGCCTCAGCCTCCTGAGCACTGGGATTACAGGTATGCACCACCATGCTCAGCTATATAGTTTCTCTTAAAAGTGTAGTTTTGGGCTAGGGTTTTAGTCTAGTGGCACAGCGCCTGCCTGGCAAACATGAGCCCTGAGTTTGATTCCCAGTGCCAAAATAAGATAGAATTTTAAGGCCGGGTGCAGTGGCTCACACTTGTAGTCCCAGCACTCAGGAGGCTGAAGCAAGACGATCAACTCAGTTTGAGGCCAGCCTAAACTGCATAATGAAACTCAGCCTCAAAAAGACAAAAAGAGTATGATTTTAAAATTCTGATTTTCCTTGTCACTTTTTTATGTATCATTTTTTCAATCCTACCTCAGGCTTGGGAGGTCTGTTCATCTTGTAGACTTGTATTTTTCTACCTGTAAATAGGAAAACGGGAGCGTAATCGTCTTAAGTACCTCCCAGGACCAACAGAAAAATCAGCGAGGCTCTAAGTATTGGTTCTTGTAAGTTACTGTCTTTAAGCTTTGAACTGACCATAGGTACACTGTATGTAGCTCACTAGTAGAGCACTTACTTGCCTACCAAGTAGAACACAGTGAGTTTTACCTCCAATACAAAAGAAGTTGAGCTGAAGTTGTGCCAACTTTTCCTTTGAGTTTTCAGATGTTTTCAGTTTTCCTTTTTGGTAAATGAAATTTTTTTCCAAATCCATTTTATTTCAAGGAGAAAAAGAAAAAAACTAAAACTAAATTTCGAAACACATCATTTAGGGGGCAACAATGGTACACACATTGAGCATTGTCATCCCCAAATCTGATAAATTAAAATTTACAACGTCAAATTGATGGTGCTTTGAGAAGAGTAAGAGGTTTTTAGGACAGTCCAGATAGTAGGGAATGGGATACTAGACTGAAATAATGGGGTAATGTACCAATCTCAGTCATAGAATTGTTTTTGACAGTAGATACATCCCTGCAATGCAAGTCTCTAACTGTTTAGAGATCATTCTCATCGCAGCACAAATTCCCTTGCTCCCCTTGGCAGTTAATCCCTGCCGCTATTCCCCTCCCCCAAGCACCAGTCTGCCTGAGTCCCTTTAAAGATTTTTTTAGGGACTGGGGCTGCAGCATTTTTGTGAGACCCTATGCTCCATCTCAGCACCGCGGGGGGAAAATTTAATCTTTTAAATTTGTGGGTTGCTTAAAGTATAGATAGATTCAGGTGGCAGGATTAGGAATATGCTTGGGATCTTCATGGGAAATGTGAAGCTAAGGACTGCTGGAGAAAAAAAAATTGCTGTTTTTTTTTTCTCCATGTGATTTTACAGTCAAATCAAACACACTCTTTTCTCTTCCGCACCAAAAACGTTTTGCAAGAGTTGGCTTCCAGCCATCAGTGTCCTTCCGACTAGGTAAAGGGAAGATTCTTTTAATCACTTTGTTCTTTCCTTTTTAAAACCGTTTGTGTTTAATCAGACCTGTTCCAATCTGTTAGGCATTTAAATAACTTTTGTTTGTTTAAGTAAAAGATAAAGGTTAGATATCCTAGTTCAAACTCCAAAGTTTAGGTTCATTATGTCCCGCCTCTCCACCCTCACTCCGTCTCACCCCCGCCCCTCCCCCACCCCGTTCTTGCCCTGCGTGGTTTTGCAGGAATTTTTCCCGCTTCAGGAACAGAGGGGTACAGCGTTGGCCTTTGTAGGACGAGCAAGCCGCGTCACCTTGTCCCCAGCCTGCGGCCATCCACCTGTCCAGCCACGGTTTCCAGGGAATTTCCCCTCCCTTGCATTGCTTGTGCCTGACAGTGCAGCCACCAGAGAAGTCTCCGGCCTGGTGAGTGCCCTGGTCGGGCCGACCTCCCCACAACCCGACCCTCACGAAAGGTCTAAGCGAGGACAGAGCGAGACCAAATCAGCCCAGTCTCCCAACCAGGGGCATCCTGGAGGGCGACTGCCCTGTGTCCACCCAAGGACCTGCGCTGAGCTCATCCAGGCTGGCCTGGGCACCCACAACAGAAGCCCGCGCTAGGGATCAGACTGGCTCAGCCTTTAGCTTCCCAGTGCCTTTGCCATCGCGGTCACTGATACAGTCACCTAGACCGCGTAGCAGCTGGGCAGGTGAAAGACCCACATAATGTGAAGATGGTTTACCTGCACAGCACAGGCCCCAGCCGCCTTTCTCCTCTCCCAACCACCCCTTTGCAGCCAGGGCTTGGTGCAGAAATGGGACATTTAGCAGCTTCTGACTTGCATGACAGAGGCAGACTAGTGGGATTAAAAGTCACCACTAAATGTGGAGCTTCTGATCTTGGGTCTTATCTAAGATTGATAACATGAAGGCCTTTGGAGTCTGAGCCAATTTTTAACATCTAGTGGAAGTTCCAAATGCAGTGAGGCTAGCAGTCAGTATTTGAAACAACTTTGAGATAAGTGCAGGTTTTTTTAAGTATAGTTTACTGAGAGAATGGGGTAGGGTATGAGGCAATCTCTCACTATATACAAGCTGGCCTTGAACTTCTTATGTAGCCCAGACTATTTAAAGAAATATTAAAACAAATCTCATTTTCCTCCCTTCTCTCCTATTCATTTGTCCATCCATATGTGGGACCACTTAAAGCAGATAAACAGCCAAAGCCTGCAGGTGCCAGTAATTTTTACCCACTGGAAATCTGCCTACTGTGGGCTGGGGATTTAGCTCACTGGTATAAACACTTGCCTGGCAAGCATGAGGTTGTGAGTTTGAACTCTGACTCCAAAAGAAAAAAAAAAAGAAAGAAAGAAAAAAAAATCTGCCTATTGAAAGCAGAGCAGGACAAAACAAAGGATGCTATTGACAGTTGCCTGACTCCCACATGGCACTCTTATCTGATCAGTTTTGGTTTTTCTTTTCTGATAATTCTTTTTTTTTCTCTTAATTTATTGACAGTCTGGCCTAAAGTCCCAGAACAGAATATTCCTTACTTGTGGAGTTCAAGACTCCTTGCCATAATGGCACTAGGCCTTCCCAGGGAGCAAGAGAAGTGGTCAGTTCTTCCTGTGGTGCCTGGCAGGTGTCCTTTTCTCTATTCCTTCCATAGTCTGAATCTGAAAATGCACAGGGCAGTGTGTGTGGGGGGGTGCTAGGGATGGAACCCAAGGGCTCAAGCATGCTAAGCATGTGTTCTGCTGCAGAGCTAACCCCCATCTCCTGGGTGTTAGCTCTAATTTAGTGCATTGTTACTGGTGAACAGATTTCTAAAAATACAGATCAGGAAGGTCCTGGCCTCCAAAGGGATCAATAGCACCAACAGTTGGAGAGAGAAGGTGACCTTTAGACATCCAGAGGGGCCACCAATGAGGGAGCTGCCCGCCCTCTGACCATCCTTTGGAGCCAGGGTGCTGGCATAAAGAGCAGCCTTGCACTCTCCAAACAGCTCTCTGAGGGTCACCAGCACCGAGTTGTGGGTGCCAGAGTATCACTCTTCTTTTATAAAGACAACTTGAAAAAACACCCCTCATTGGTAAGTTGATTGAAGATATCTCCTGTTAAGTCCTATCAATTATTTCTTCTTCCTCCTCCATGTCTCCTCCTGTGACACTGCTGATCTTATTCTGACTTTGGGAAAGTAAGCCCAGCTTTTCCAGTTATGAAAAACCTAGCTATACTTCAGAGAGTTTGTGAGTTGGGTTCCAGACTACTGTGATAAAGCAAATTTCATAAGAAAATAAGGCATACTATTTTTGGTTTCCCAGTGCATAGAACACTTAAGTTCATACTACACAGTGGTTGATTAAGTGCCCAATAGCCATTATGTCTTTAAAAATTACAGATCTTAATTTTAAAAATACATTATTGTGGATTGTAGTGGCACATGCCTGTAATCCCAGCACGCAGGAGACTGAGGCAGGAGGGTCACTGTGAGTTTGAGCCTGGCCTACATGGTAAGACCTTGTCTCAAAAACCAAAACAAAAATTCTTTATTGCTAAAAAAAATGCTAAGGATCACCTGAGCTGTTGGGAAAATGGTGCTTATAGACTTGTTGAATGCAGGGTTGCCAGAAACATTTGATTTGTAAAAAAATGCAGTAGCTGTAAAACACCATAAAATAAAGTATGCCTGAGATTTTTACGAAGGTGCTGAATTTTTTGGTGCTGAACTGGGTCGATGCAATTATGTTTCACTTGATCTCTGTTATATTCAATAGGTTGCTGCATGACAATGTCTTCCATTAAAATTGAGTGTGTCTTGCCTGAGAACTGCCGGTGTGGTGAGTCTCCAGTTTGGGAGGAAGCATCCAACTCACTGCTCTTTGTAGACATTCCTGCAAAACGGGTTTGCCGATGGAATTCACTCAGCAAGCAAGTACAGCGAGTGATTGTGGGTAAGAATGAAGGCCCAGCTCAATTCTTTGCAGCCAGGCATCTTTTCCCAGGATAGGAGCAGTCATCATGTTTGTCCTTCCCCTGGGACCTTCTTATTAAAGCATACTGAATATGCTTTAAGACTTTTGGCTTGTCATTCTGTCTGTGACACACACCATTTCCTCCCAGTTTGACCCAGGAGTAAATGTTGAGTCATCATCAGTACTTTCCTCATTCTCTTCCAGTGAGAGGCAACACTCCCAATATCTATCTGTCCTTGACACTTTCACATGTGAAATTTGAAGATTAGGTTAATGGCACAGCAAAGGCTAACTGCCTTGGGTCAAGCCAAGATCTTAGTTTAAAGAAAAATAAATAACAAGTTGATCTCTTCTTTGCATGTAAAAAGGTCTTCACATGTGAAGGGATCAGAGACTATATAGCTCAATGATAGAATACTTTTTTTTTTGTACTAGGTATCAAACTCACAACCTTACACTTGCCAGGCAGGAACTTATGTCACTGAGCTAAATCCCCAGCCCAATGGTAGGATACTTGATTAGCATAGTTACATCTCTAGCACTGGAGGTGGGGAGGAGTTATGTATCAACTAGGTCTATCTTTGTTCACTGCACAATGGTAGAATTCTGAGGGAATGCAGTGTGCATTTTAGTGTGATTCAACTTAGGGCCCTGTAGGTTCCAGAGGTGGAGTCTATTGTTTTCTATGGCTCAAGGCTATGGGCTGACTTGATTAGTGATAGGGAAAGAAGTTTCTTTTTTTTTCATTTTGTGTTCATAGGAATGAGATATCAGGAATTACTGTAATATTGAGAATACACAGGAATTCCTGGTATGTCTTTCCATAAATCCAATTAGGGACCAATTAGAAATAAATATCTATTTATATTCATATTCTGTGTGTGTGTGTGTGTTCCAAGCTGGCCCAGAACTTGCTATAGAGCAGCTCAGGGTGCCCTTGAACCCTCCTTCCTTGTCCCTCAGCCTCTCTATTAGGCCTAGTAGCTGCTGTGGTTCAACTCCTCTGTTTCTCCCACAAGCCTGGGAGCATTCAGAAGAGTTGGATTCATCTTGTGGCCTAGGACAGAGCTGACACTCAATAAATATACAAGGTTATGAAGATTTTCGTATTCAACAGGAGAAAAAACTCACACCCACTGTCAAAATTGCTGGGTTTCTTCTCTAAAAGGTGTCAGTCAGGTAATAGTATGGCCTCAGTGTGCTACTCAGCCCCTAGACTGCTCACCACCTTATGACAACTGCTTTTGCCTCTGCAGATGCCCCAGTCAGCTCAGTGGCCCTTCGCCAGTCTGGAGGCTATGTTGCCACCATTGGAACAAAGTTCTGTGCTTTGAACTGGGAAGATCAGTCAGTAGTAGTCCTGGCAGAGGTAGATCAAGATAAGAAAAACAATCGATTCAATGATGGAAAAGTGGATCCTGCTGGGAGATACTTTGCTGGTATGATTTCTTTTTAGCCCCACCTTTGTTCAACTTTGCAAGAAACACTATGATTTAGAAATTTCTGACTGCTACAGTGATCAAAGTGTTATTCAAATGGGTTTTGGGTTTTTTAAATTAATTCAGTTTATTGGTACATTTTAGGAATACATAATGGTCATACTCATCATAGAGAATTTGTACTTGTGTATGATATATCTTGATTGTTTTTCCCCATTCCCCTCCCCTCCTTCTCATTTACTCTTTGCCTTCTTATTTATAAAAGCTTTGTTTTGGGTGGGGATTTAGCTCAGTGGGGTAAGCACCTGCTTGGCAAGTGTAAGGTCGTGAGTGAGTTCAATCCCCGGTACCAAAAAAAAAAAAAAAAAAAAAAAAGAGAGAGAAACAAAAACTTTGTTTCCATTTTTCCTTTTCTCATTTTTTCTTTGCCCTTCCTCCTTCTTTAGTACCCCTTCTCATATGAATATTTTCTTCCATTTTCACAATATCTATGATACATTTTGGTCCTTACTTATACTTTCAATTTCTCATACTAGAGATACAATGTAATATTTATACATGTGTTCAATTTATTTCACTTAAGTGTATGTTCTCAAGGTGTATCCATTTACCTACAAATGTTTCAAATTTATCCTTCTTTGTGGCTGATAGAATGAGCAGCTGAAATGAATAGACAGTTCTCAGATGAAGAAGTACAAGTGGTAAATAAATATATGAAAAGTGTTCAACGTCACTGATCATTTCAGAGATGTAAGTTAAAACACTGAGATTTCATCTCACTCCAGAAAGAATGGCTATTATCAATAAATCAACTAATAACAAATGCTGGAGAGGCTGTCGGGGGAAAGGGACCCTTCTCTACTAGTGGTGGGAGTGTGGACTGGTGTAACCATTGTGGAAATCAGTGTGGAGATTTCTCAGAAAACTAAAACTACAGGTTCCATTCCTAGCTATTCCCCTTTGGGGTATCTTCTCAAACGAATTAAAAGTATCATACCACAGCTATTTGTACATACTCATGTGTATAGCAGCACAGTTTGTAATAACAATCTTAGAAACAGCCCAAATGCCCATTAACTGATGAATGGATAAAGAAGATGTGGACTTTGGTGTTCATTTTCTTTTGCATTGCTGGTGTTTCAACCCAGAACCTCATGGAAGCTAGGCAAGCGTTCAAGCCCTTAGTTAGACTCTCAACCCTTTTCTTTTATTATTGCTTGAGTAACTTATAGTACTAAAGAAAATCCTATGAGAAAGTATTCCTAGGTATTCTTTTCAATTTCTGCCTCTAGCAGAAACTAAAATCTGTATGGTGTTTTTGTGGTTTGAATGAGTTGTAAACACAGATTTTGATGTTTAAATTGCAATTTCTTTTTGTTGTTGTTGTTGTGCTGGGAGTGGAACCTAGGGCTTTGTGACTACCAAACAAGTACTATATACTAAGCTACACCCCCAAGTCCCCTAAACTGAAAATAATTTCAGATTTACAGAAAAGGTAAGAATAGTACAACCAACATCCATATAGCTATTGTCACCTGTTGTTAACATTTTGTTCCCCTACCTTTTTTTTTAAATTTTATTTAAGGAGAAAAAGAAAAAAAGCAGAGAAAGGGTACAAGTTATACAGATTTACAGAAAAAAATAAACAGTAGGAAATCACTAGTTAATGGATTACATATTGTCATTTTAGAAATAATTGTTCAAGTTACAAAATTAAAGCTTATAAAGTGGACATTCCAACAGTGAGACTGCAAACGGTTCTGTTCAATGATCCAACAAAACTCAGTGATATCATTATCTATCTTATACACTTAAATATACATGCAGTTATATCGCTTAGAGCACTTTCATTTCCTCTCTTTTGTGCAATGACAATTACCCATTTTGGGTTTTGTTGCTCCCACAGTTCTTATTACTTTTTTGGAAGAGAGTAGAACCAAATGTGACATAACAGAACAGAGTCAGTCAAATCAAAAGGGTGGGCATAATAGATAATGTAAAATCATAATACCAGGTGATCAACAATGGTTACCATAATGCCTCTCGCTATCTCTAATAGAATTGCCTATATCATCAGTTATAATAAAATTGAACAAAACAGTAAAGAACAAAACCAACAAAACCAAAACATTGGAGACATTATAGGTCTTCAAAAGTCGATAATAGTCAACCAGAATGGGCGTCATAATGAATCCCACTATCTTCACAGCTGTTGCCTAAACTTTCAAACCTGGTACTATGAAGCAAAACAGAATAGAGGGACATCAGTCAAAGCAAGAAGGTGAGAGCTATACAGGGCTTTAAATCAAGATAATGGAAAGTCAAAGTGGGTTACTATAATATATCCTATTTTTTATTTATTTTTCCCTTAATTAAAAGGATAAAAATAAAAAAGTAAATAATAAAGTGGAGATTGAGACAAAAGAGGACATAACAGCAAAACAGTGCAGATCAAAACATAACCATTTAAGCAAAATAGTGTTTCACCACAAGATAATCCCGACATAAAAGTAGTTACCATATTGTCTCTTTCCTTTAAATCTTTGAGTATAACTTCGTATACTGTAGTTTCAAATATATCAAAACAATGTAAAACCATTTAAGAGAATGACAGTATTCAGGGGATTTAGAATCAACTAACAGAAAATGAACAATGGTTTCTGTATAATCTCCTTGTCTATAAAAGTTTTTGCTTATACTATCATACATAATAAAATCCAATAAGATACAACCTGTTTAGACCAATGGAGACAGAAGAACAAAAGCTTGATGAGACTTCAAAACAAGATGGTACTAAATCAGTATTACCTATTAAGATGTCATTTTCTCCAAAATAGCTGTTCCTATCATCCAATCTTCTCTGCCTCATTTCTGTTGAGCTCTTTTTCTGTCATTAGTTGTCAGTTTGTCTTCTTCATTTTGTTTTCTGCTCCATTCATTGTGGCCTCTCTGCCACTATTTCTGGATTCTTCGTATTTTTCTTTTTTAGAATATCCTGAAAGTATTCTCTGTAGAGTTGAATTGGTGGTTGCATATTCCCCTAGTTCCTCTTTATCCTGGAAGCACCTTGTTTTTCCATCAGTTTCCAGGGATAGTTGTGCAGGATATATCAATCTTGGCTGGAGATTATTATCTTTCAAAGCTTGAATTATTTCCCCCCATGCTCTTCGTGATTTGATGGTTTGTGCCGAGAAATCTGCTGTAATTCTGATGGGTATTCCCTTGTAAGTGATCTGTTTCTTGTCTCTGATGGCTTTTAATATTCTGTTCTTGTATTGGATTTCTGGAATTTTAATTATTATATGCCTGTGTGTTGCTCTGTTTGGGTTGTCGGTCTCTGGGGTCCTGTATGCTTCATACAGCTGAGTATCTTTACCTTTTGCTAAATTAGGAAAATTCTCCTGGGTTATTTCTGTGTGTAGCTTTTGTAGTTCATTTGTTTGTTTCCCTACTTCTTATTTTATGTTCTTAATTCTTAAGTTATGGATCCTCTTAACATCTTCTAGTCTTTGTATTATTGCTGTTTGTTTCTTTGTTATTTTTAAGAAGTTTTTCATTTCATGCTCCCATATTACAAATCTGCCCTCCAGTTCAGATAATCTGTCCTTAGTTTCTTTCAAGCTGTTATGCCAGTTTTCGATAGAGTTTTTAGTTTCCTGGTAATCTCTTTGAACCTGCTTCACGTATTCTATGCTTTCTCTGTTTTCTCCATCAAACAATTCTCCCCTCTTTTTGTGTTCTTCCATTCCACCATCTGTTTTTTCTTGGGTGGTGCTTAGCATTTTTCTAACTATTCTGCTTATGTCTAGCTTCAGGTCATTAATAACTTCATTCCTGAACTTGTCTATGAGGCTCTGGAGATAGCGCTTTATATCTATTGGTGCTGTGTCTGCTATTGCCTCTTTCTCAGTATTGGGGGCCGAGGACCCTTTCTTGTTGCCTCTTCCCATATTCTTTGTTCCTTATATATGCAAACGTATATAGGAGGCCCAGCTTCCTTCCCTGTCAGCCACAGTCTGATTGAATTGCGCCGGCTAGGTGTTCCCACCCACCGAAGCACACCAGGAAGTTGCAGACCAGGCAGCCTATGCGGGGCCCGCCCCTCCAGGTCAATTTACCTTCAGGCGCTGGGACCTGGGTTGTGCTAGCTACTGGGTCTTAGGCAGCAGTGTCACGTAGGCTAGGCACTTCTCACCAATCCCGCTTGAAAGGGGGATACGTGGCTGAAGTCACTGCAGCGCCCTGTTCTCGCAAGTCTGCCTGGTCCCAGAATGTCCTCTGTTGGAGTCTCCTAAACCATGGAAGAGACCCAGCTTCTCTCACTCACCGCAAGTCAATGCACAGCTCCCCACCCGTCCTGCTTTCAACTTTGTTCACCGATTCCCGTTCTCAGAGCTTCTGTGTGTCTCTCTCCCTGCCAAGCCGATGTAGATGCAGCAGCAGCGGCGGGAAACCCAAATTGCGGCTTCCAATGGCGTGGGCTCCAGCTTCCACACTGAGGCTTTTCTGTTCCTGTTATAGCACCAGGATTGCATTCCCAGTTGGTTTCTCTCAGCCCAGTTCATTCTTGGGTCAGCAGGGCATATCTTCCCTTGCTTATTATTCCTTACTCCGCACCATTCCTGAATTCTAAGCTGAGTCTTTCAGAGAGCCTCTGTAGCTGCTGCTATCTGTCTGCCATGTTCTCCCAGAAGTCCTTGTTCCCCTACCTTTAACATTTGTTCTATGTCCAAGCATAATTTTCCCTGGAGGAGCCAAGATGAGAATAGGCTGCATATATATGTGTACCTCTACCCCTGAAATACTCCAGGGTGAGTTTCCCAAGAGAAATAACACATTCTTACATTGACACTGTGAAGTTATCAGCTGAAAGATATTTAATATTGATGGAATAATTTCATCTGACATACTATCTATATTTCAGTTATGTTAATGAACTGAATAATATCCTGCATAGAATTGTCCCCTCCAGTAAAGGATTCAGTCTAGGATCATGTTTT